GCGACGTCGTGTTCGCACTAACAGTGTCCGACAGTGCACATAAATACACGTACGAAGCCGTTTTAGCACCATTTTTAATGCGATGAATTTGAAAGAAAAACGCCGTAACTGACCAATTATTTCGTCGGCCTGACTGAGAAATGTCCCAAGCTACCTAGTACGTACGCCTTACTCGGGATACTTGCTTTTATGATCGAGAAATTTCACTCCCTTTTACCCATAGAAATGCATTACCGGAAGTCAGTTTTCGACTGGTTGCTGTCTGCTTCAATTTGCGTCAGCACACTAGCACCACTTGAACCTCCAGCGTACATTATAATAACTCTATACCTTGAACCAACGTTACTAGAACACTCAGTTGGGAAACTCGCCGTCGAAACCTGGGACGCTGGCGTCCACCGAGACCGAGCTAAATACGACAAGAGCGCCACTCTTTGTCATTTGTCTGTAACTGTGGTCAGCTTGAGTTTTACAAGGCATGTTTTTGCGTAAAAACAAACGGAAAAGACTCTTTTGTATGAAATTTATTGGAGTTCAGTGCAAAATGATGGGAGCGTGATGTTTTTAAAATCTTTAGTTGGCAACGTTTAGCGGCACAATTAATATTGTTTTTAAACAACCATGCCTCAGCTTTGCTTTCAGGTAGCGCGTCCCGACCTAGGTGCATTTTAACTTCGGTAGTAATTCGCGGTGCGTGCGCCGGGGAGACGGGGGTGGCACCCCTGTAACCTCTTCCGCTGTATCTGTTTCGGCGCCAAAATGGCAGAATAAAGCCAAAAAAGAAGTAACGTACAGTTCCTCGAGTGGTCGCTGCGGGAGAAATGGCGGCGTTGTGTTCGCCATTAGCTCGGTTCTGGAGGACAGATCGGGGACACTTTTTCAGAGCAGTCTTTATGACAGTTTCCCAACTGAGTGGTTTCAGTAAGGTTGCCTTGAACACAGCCATACTGACCGGTCCGCGAGGCCAGAGCCGTGTATAAAGAGAGTTTGGTCAACGGCAGGAGCAGGCAGAGCAAGGGCGTGCACCAGACGCAGATAGAGGGCTTGGCATGCTCTCTTGGCACAGAAACAGTTTTAATAAGAGCGCAAGGGTTAAATGTAGTAACTCTTCATGGTTGAAAATATGGTGCACGTGATGTTTCGATCATGATCCTACAAAAAGATATAAGAAACGAATGTGCCGCTCGAACTCTGTTTTGCTGGGACAGAGTGTGATCGCTCGGACGGCAGATTCCCAACCCCCGGCCACTGGCGTGGGGATTATGTCGATCGTTCCGACAGTCGCGCTCTTCTACCATGATTTTGGATGACCGTGATTGAAACATCACGTGTACCATATATTTGGTCACCGAGAGTTACTCCGACACACTTAAGAATTTCGTTTCTTGCGACCATTGCGAGGGTATTATTTTCGGCTTCTGGTTTTCCACATTCGAAATTGTGAAGACGCCCTGGACCCAGCCGCTTTCAGCCAATAACGCCTCAAGAAAAAAAAAATTAAAGGTAAAATTAGTTGTCAGTTGTTTATACAGCAGGAGGTTAGTCTGCCAAAACATGGCGACATTGTTACCCCTCATTTGCCTCCTATACTTCCCAATGACAGGCCAAACTCTCTCTACATACGGCTCTGCGCGAGGCTACTTCCGTCTGCAGAAATGTGACCCCCTATCTCGTTTCCTTCTTTTGTTGGTACCGGAACGTTTTCAAACTATCCTGGGCACGAGCACGTTCTCTGGCGGTTTGGGGAATTCCATACGCGTTCTCTGTTTCTTCAATATAAGGACCAAAAAAGACCGATTTCTTGTCCGGCAAAAATAATTTGACCCCAAAAAACACCGAATCCGTCGGAAAAATCAATCCCCATAAATCACTCCCGAATTCGAAGAAAAACAAGAACCCTGAAAACACGTAAAATTATAAGGGGGAGAAGGTGGCCTACGTATGCTCCATACAGGGAGTGAAGCATAACGGAAGAAGGCAACGCCACGAAATGTCCCCTCAGTCCCTCGGCCAATGAGATGATCCTTTTTCCAGCGTATTTTTTTTTCGTTTACTAAGTTCCCTATTTTTTACCACAGTATCGGGTAATTTTCATCGTAATTAGAAAACATTTAATGGACGCCGCCAAGTAAATAGAGAGCAAAACAACTGCGTTGCCATGGCACTGTCGTGGCAACGCGATTGCTTGCTTCATATTTACATAGCGGCGTCCACTGGATCGGTGTCGAGCCGGGAAGATTCGAAACTAACACTTGCCTGTCCAGTAGGATGTCGGCGTGTGGCAGACGCTCTCGACACCGAGCAGGGAGCGTTGTTTTGAGCGAGTCGTCATATATAGCGCGCGCGACTTTGGAAAGCGAGCGTATCAGGTGTCGTACGCCCGAACGCTAGGAATGGCACGGGGTTGAGAAAGACCAGTGTTGGGTAAAGTACATCTAAAAGATACTTCAAGTAAAGTACAAAGTAAATGAGACGTGATGTACTTCAAGTAAAGTAGTAAGTACACTGGGTGCAATGCACTTGAAGTAAAGTACTATAAATACAATGTACTTGCAAAGTAAAATTCAATTATTTTAACACAATCTTTCATGATGCCCTTTCATTCCCCTATACAGTGACTTTTTACTTGGTATGCATTGCCCAGGGGTAATCAGGGGTGCATGACCTATTTTTCAAAATCAGCTCTGAATATTTTATGAAGTCAAGTGGCCAAAGAGTAGTTATTTTTAGAAATAGAGCCCGATTCACAAGTCCCTCTTCTTCTGAATTTAGCGCTCCTTGGACTGGGTAGTTGCACTCAAGGGTGTTAAATGTAATAGAAGAGAGCATGACGTCAGCCCCGTAGATTCCGCAAGCAATCCTCTCGTAGAGGAGTGTCCTCTCCTTAATAATGATTTAAAAAAAAAACAGTCAGTGTGCAAGCGAGCAGCTGATAATTAATCATAATGTGACACCTGAGATTGGTTTGCGAAAGAATTAAGGAACTTTCAAGTCGAAGGTAAAGACAAAAGAGAATGTCTCAAAACATTGTGACGTTCTCCTCTGTTGTCTTTTACTTTGACTTGAAAATTTAATTTTTCCGCACCAAAGCCTCAGATGCTACATTATGATTAATTTTGCTGTCCTAATATTTTAAACTTCCTCGCTTGTGCTGACCATGCCAGAAGTAACAAGAGTTCAATAAGCTACGGGAAAGCCACCCCCAGAACAAACGGAGCGATGCGTCGTCTGCTCGCGTTTCTGGCAAGAGTAGAATATCCCTCCCAGTTTTTCTTCAGAGTTGACAAAGCATCATTTCGCGATACAAAATTAACAAAACCAAATCTGGAGAATGTACCTTGAAGTCGGGAACTGTACTTTCCTCGGAAAGTACCAGAAAAAAATACTTTACGTAAAGTACACGTACATGCTCAGAGAATGTACTTCAAGTAAAGTACACGTACATGTTCAGAGAATGTACTTCAAGTAAAGTACAAGTTTTTTAAACCTACCCGAAGTAGTACTTTAAGTACATTGTACTTAAAGTATTTCCCAACACTGAGAAAGACTGTAAAAGTCCCGTTTCCAGCAGGTGTTCGTTTCCATCCGCCGTGATCAAAATACGCGTTCGCATCGAAACTCCTTTTTTTTTTTTTTTATGGTGCGCCAATGGTATAAAAAGCCAGCCGCGAGAGCGGACAAGCGATGCAGACCGCAGGCACCGAGCAGACGTACGCTAAACCTAACGTAGCCGATCGAGCGGCGAGCAGACAACAAGAGCTTTCATGTCATGTCAGACAACGGGAGCTTTTGTTACGGCAGTCTGGGATTGAGATCTTTTTCCGGCGTCGCTAGGCGTTACGTCCTTCCGAGTCCAGGGTTACTTCAACGTCCTTGCCGAAGCCGCTTACCCATCGTTGGCTCGTTGCTAAGCCTGCTTATTTCAGACGTCCTCCGCGGTCGCCAATCGGAGTTTTAGCTCCGAATATTTAAAAGGGACCGCAAACTAGGTCGTCTTTGTTGTGTTTGAATGTGTAAGCCTATCGAAGCCTATGAAGAAAGCAAACTGCTTCCATCGTCAAGCACAGTCCTTCGCTTACTGTCTTCTGATGTCTTTCTCTAGCCGCGGCGATAACAGAACCGTCATATCCTATGAGCTGTTTTGCATATTTATGACACTTTATACGTTTATTTTAACCCCGACACTCAATCAAAACTACTTTCATAAAGCACTAGGGACGGTTGACCGAATTACAAGATTTATTCGGCTTCTAAAAATTCATTTTGACGGCTCTAACCTACACAAGATTCCTCCGTGCGACCTCTCTCGCTGAGCACTTTCAACATCGCTTGGTGCCCCCATCGGCCTAGGTTCCTGGGCGTCGCTCGATTAAATTATGATGCGCTAATATTTCGCAACTCTCTCCTTGCTTGTCCGAAGCACCAGAGAAGAAGAAAACACAAACAAAGGGACACAAGCTCAAATACCTCTGCGGGGCCCCTTTAAAAGATGCAGGGCACCTCGCGGCCAACACACCGAGTGGCGAAAGAATTCCGGACAGAAATTAGGATGAAGTCCCCAATAAAATAGTCTAGCGCGAGTCCCACCAGAATGTCCTCGAACGAGCGACGATAAAACGCACGCAAGCTGCAGCCCCATAGCGTTCTCTCCCTCCGCGGATCTAAGAGCGGCGGACAGACGGTTTCACGGCGACGGAAAGTGGAGGACGCTACGGGCCATCTAATCCAATCCAATGTCTCGTGAGTGTCATATGACCTTCGGGAACTGCGCATCGGCGCGCGGGGCACACCGTCACGTGATGCCTTCGCTGTGCTTGATTGGCTGGGATGGCGTCCTCGGCGGTCCATCGCGAGTTGAAACAGAGATATAGAGCAAACGACAGGTTCGCTTCGGGTGCGGACGCCCCCGTGGACGTCAGCCCCGCGGACTTTCGATGCCGGGACGCGACACACGAGACGGGGGAAAGGCGCAAGAGCGCCCGGGAGGACTCTCTTCTTACCTCATTGGTATTCCAACGATGTCGCTGCGTCGGGAGGTAATCCGCCTTGGGGATGGTCTCCAGACTCTCGGGCAGCGCGGGACGACCCTCGTCCGCATCTGCAATCGGTCGGAAAAAAGAAAGGAGAAAGACATGAGTGGGACGACGCCGGGCCGTATTCGGTCGACAACAGCGATGCCCGAGAGAACGCGAGTGCAAGTCCGAGAGCACGCGCCTGTGAGGCCATCGGAGGGAAAGAGGGCACGTTAGGAATAAGTAATGGTAGGCGGATGACCCGCCGCAGATTCGTCACGAACGAATCTGGGCGGACTCGATAAGGAAGAGTTCGCGGACAGAGGACGCGTCGGGGAATTATGTCGGATTCTCGTTTTTCTGCCGCACGGAGATGAGTATTTATTGCGCGGTGCCACCGGGCCAACTGGGATGGCGCCCGTGTTGGTAAACGTCGGTGACATTAGGCAATGCCGAGCTATAGGCTGGACGTCGCGTTCCGACGTAGGTCGATGTATCATTATCACAGTCAATCACTGCGTCGCTGAAAGGCACCAGGGACCAGGCGACACGTGCCCGGCCCCTGGCACGCCGTAACGCGATGCTTTCCCAAGTAAATCATTACTTCGATTGTGACTGACCGAGTCAAAGGTAGGGTAACGCTGGAAAAATGTGGAACGCTTCGAGGGTATACACTCTAGAGCAAAATGACACTATCTGAGAGAAGGGTCCTGTTCTAAAATTTACTCGATCTCACTCCAGCTAGTAAAGGTTTTGTACCTTGGCGTGTTATCGCCTCATACGACCCGCGGGAGTAACTCGGATATACTCCAGTAAGGTTTGAGACCCAGCCTAGGTGTATGGTTAGGAGCCAGCGTTTCTCGCGTTAGTCTCTATCCGGACAAACACATACATTATTGGGAGGCAGCAAAACAAAATCATCATCTTAGTGGCCCGAACCATCTTGCGAAGTACCACCTGTTGACCAACGCGTTCTTCTGCGACCAATTAGAGAAAATCAAACATAACAAACAGCTTACTAACAAGACGTACTTGCCATTTTCGGCGACAAGTGTTTCTTGCCTGTTTCCTTAGTGGGACGAGGCCCTTTTGTACTCACAGGTGTTGTTGTTAGGAACCTCTGTCCTAACCTTACATACGTTTGCGACGCATATTAACGGTTGCACTGGGCCTAGGGGGCGTAAGCAGCCGCCCGTTTCGAAGGCCACATCCATATACACATCCATCCGTCGTGTGTCACCGAAGCTGCTTATATGCATCCTCACACTCGTGCCCAGGCATTTTACGTGAGCGACTACTGCTTCATCTGTGCTAGTGTCTCAACTGACCGCGGCAGGACATCACCCCTATTCATACACACGATTTAGAGTGGCCATCCACCTCGGGTACGAGCTCTCCATCACTTACGAAAATATATTCATGTTTGCAATCAAACTACACTTATATTTCACACTGTACTCTTATAATTTTTAACATGGAAAAATCGACGGTAAGTTTGGCACTGACTATATCGTATTCGTTTGACTTCCATTTGTATTCGTGAAGAGTTCAACAGTGAGACCTCACTGTGTTTCAAAAACGAATTGACCGCCGAGTGTCGGTTACTTTTCATGTATGATTTTCAATCGAGTTTCTGATCTGTTCCTAAGTAGTTTCACAGGACCAGCTTGCGGTTGACTGCGGCATATAGTATTGAATTTAGGATGTGCCATTTTTCGAGCTAAATTTAACATTTAGTTTTACATGCATAAAATATCATTAATGTAATTTCATTGAAGTTAGTTATTTTTGTGAAATACACGTCGAACCACATCAGATGTTGACTTCCTCGTGTAGGGTTGATCACCCATTAGGAACAGATGAAGATCGAACCAGAAATTCAGTATTCATAATGGTGATAGATAGCTTCAAAAGCTACTGTTTACAGTATTCTCTTTTTTGAAAGTGCAAAAAAAAAAAAAGCTACAATATTGAAAAGAAATGCACTTGGGACAAAACACCCTCTTGGGATGTTATAAACTCGCAGAGTACTACACGCGATACACTATTCGTTCTTTCTCGCGTGAGTTGAAACGTGGTGGCGCCAGTGTGCAAATAGCCCCCAACCACTTCCGGCTCTCAACTAGACGGCGGGTTTCAAAGTGTTTGCAAGGTAAAATATACACGCTATCTTCTGGAAATGGCCACTTAAAGCACTCTCGCACTTAATTCAATCTTATAATAAAAAATTGACGAGTAAAAAAAAAAATACACGTGAACCGAAAGTGTGCCGGAGCTACCCAATAGATGGCGCTACTAAGTTTGTTGCCAAACAAACAATCTGCGTGCAGAGCTAACAAAGGCAGAGGCGAGGGGGCATGAAAATCGTTGGTTTGCGCTAGTTCGCGGGAAAACAAGATGGTTTCACAAAACGGGCGCTCGCTCCCCTCGAAACGGTGCCCATCCTTTGAGCTGAAGTGTGATTAACTGCGTTCGCTCACTTACGGCAAAATTTGTTGCCAGAGCCGCATGACTGGGCTTCCGATGTACTGTTTCCTTTGTATATTGATGCTCCTTCAAGCTACAGCTAGCATTTACATGTCTTAACACGCGATCGTTGATCTTTCCCTATGGATGCATCGCTCCCAGGCACAAGATAGAGTGCCGAAGTTGTTTCTTCGGCGGGGGCCGTCCTCAATCGTCTGGCAATTCTTTCTTGCCCGCATCTTTAGGACCTTCTCTTTTCACTCCTCTAGTATTTTTTTATTTATATTTCCACTTTTTTGTTTTGCTTTCTTCACATCTTTTAGCGTTTGTTGTGAGGTGCTTCGGGCGGGCCGATAGACCAAGTTCAAGAGCTCGTTTTATTACGCCGCCGCAGCCAGTATGCATCGTAAGAACTGTAGCTATCCCGCAAGAGAAAGAACCGCGGAGGCAGGCGCGATTGTCACTTTCAGAAGTTCATTGTCAGATTTACGAAGATCTTTAGGAGAACACTTCCAGGGGGCAAACACAATGTATTTTCGCCTTTGATTTAAAGGGGGCTTTCGATAATGCATCGCATGCCATATGTACTCTGCGTTGTCACTAACAAGTGCGCCAATGTGTAGGCTTCGGCCGTTATTGGACACTCGAAATAAACCAATACAAAACAAATGCACGGAACGGTTAGTGAGGTTGGTCAATCGATAGCTCATTCAGCTAGGATAAAACTGTCAGCCAACCCCGTCCTTGCTTTCGGACGACAAACCCTACTCCGGTTCATCGCTAGATGTAGCGCAACGAAGACTACAAACGCGAGCTTCGGGCTGAAAAACGAACATCGACTGCAGGAGGTCTCACGAAGCAGGAGCAACAGTTCAAGCTATGAGCTCGGGACTTTAGCCTTACTGGGACAAATCCTAAGATGAAGCGGCGGAAGCACCACCACCACGCGCAGCGTTTTGGAATCGTTTCAAATTCACCGTGCGATTTTGCCGGCAGAACCCCATGGCATGAAACGAATATGCGGCGAACAACCAACGAATCTCTTCCTGCGGCACGATCGCATTGACATGGGTGTTGACACCCATCTCGATGCCCGGGTGAAAATCGTCGCTTGTTCACAGCGTATTCGTTCCATACACCCCAGCCCGTAGCCAAGCTGATTGAAATGGACTTTGGACAGCGGGAAGATAGACAACTTGCGTTTCGTTTATTTCACCCGAGCCACACGACTTATCATCTCGGGTCTCCAACGTGCGTCATCCCGCAGTAGTGATCACGCGTCCGCAAGCACAGCGACCGGTAATATCGAGACCGACCCGAGAGGGCATCGAGCTTATTATAGTCCGGTCTGCGGTGATAGCTCCAGGCAGCGTTGATTCGAAGTGCCTTAGCACACACGACCACCATCCTCTCTCTCTCTTTCTTCCTTCCCTTCCCCGCGTCACTCTCTCGGATCGGTGGAGCGATTTCAATGCGCCGAGATGATGAGGCAACCGAGAAAGATGGAGGAATTTCTGGGAAAGGAAGCGAAGGAGAAAGGTGAGGAGAAACGGAAGGGCAGACGCCACCCGCAGTACATAATAAATTGCCCGGAAGGGGTGCGTCTCGTTGCCGCGGAGAGAAAAAGTCGGACTCGAGATCGCATTTCGTTGCTCGGTGTTTATTATTTGAGCCACGAAGCAGGAGGTTGGGATAGAGGAGATGCGCGTCGTTTCCGAGAGGGCCATCGTGTTTGTAACTCGGTGGGGTGCCTAGTAACAAGCGCCCTTCCCCTTCGAAAGAGCGCCGACGCCATATTATTGTGAAGGCGCCGCAGGATGCAATGCACTACATATTGGACATACTGCATAAAATCATAAGGTTTCGGCGCCCGTTTAAGCAACGTGTCGAGGGAAAGCGTGAGCTGTAATTGTTAGTGAACAGCGCTTACTTTGATTCGGTTTAGTGTAGTTTATGATGAAAACAAATAAAATCCGACAAGACGTAAAACAAACATAAATGACGCAAGTAAAACAACACATAGAGAGGGGTCAAACATTGTTAATAGGCATCTAAAGGACACTTGAAGTTCAGAGAAATGTTAGATCCGGTTCTTTCAATTATGTTCCGGTGGCGAATTCCAGTTAGTAATTGCAAATCAGTGATGTTATTGGCGAGTCGTGTTGGAGCACCCATTGGAGCAGCCAGAAGTCAATTTTGAAGCAGCGAAAGTAACTTTTGGACTTTGAGCATGTACTTCCTTATCAGTCATTTCACTGAAATATACGTCACGATTTATGTGGCAGCCTGTCCAGCTAAAGGACAATGCCTTCTTTGCTTAGCATAATTCCAGAGGAAAATCTGATTTTTTTTTTAAATAAGCAACTACGAGCTGTTTTGTGCGCTTGAAAACACAAGACAAGGCAACAAGAATGTTATGACGAGAGTTAAGATTTTTTGCTGAAAAAGATCCACTGCAGCAGCTGCTTTTGAAACACGTTAATTGATGAAGAACAGAGCACAAACATCTGTGGTAAGTGTTGGCATGATTCAAAAGGCGGACGAAATTATATTGCACCGAAATAATGTTAGAATAAGCTTGTAGGAGTAAAAAAAAATTAACATTATGCTCAAGGTTTGA